GTCCTACATAAAAAGGCACCACTGAGATGCCGCTGCTACAATTTCAAAATCAAATCAGAGTCATTTAACACATAATTCAAGGACAGACTTAGATGTAATGATTTCAGTTCTCGGGTTTGATTTATTGGTCAACACTGAGAGGAAGGGAGTGGTATAGAGATGCAGAAGCTGTTAGATATTAATGAGCATTTTAAAATGACTATTGGTTTAAATCACAGGGCTCTCTGATATCCGCTCACAGACAATGCAAGCTTGATCCTTGTTCAGTACTACAAACCGCATGCTCTGTTTGGGGTGTCAGAGACCCCAGATATGAAGCATGACTAATGCAATGACTTTCCACATAGTAGATTCTCAGATGGGTGTACACAGTACATATATTATGTGTTATTATGTGCTATTAAGTGCTTACTATGTGATATGATGTGCTTATTTTCTGAAAATGTACTCACACTCAGGCCAACCAAGATGTCCAAGAAAACAGATTTGGAGAAATTTAGCATTACATCACTTGCTCACTAATGAATCCTTTGCAGTGAATAGGTGCCGTAAGAATGAGAGTTCAAACAGCTGATAAAAGCATCACAATAATCCACATATGGAATAGGTGCCGTCAGAATGAGAGTTCAAACAGCTGATAAAAGCATCACAATAATCCACATATGATTTGTAGTCATCAACATAACTACAGCCCATCAGTTAACATCTTGTAGAGACAAGTTGTGTGAGTAATAAAAAAACTAATCACCATTAAGACATTTTTAACTTCAAACCATTGCTTACAGCTAAAATATGAGTCCTCTATCCACAATATTGCTTTCTTCAGTGAAAAAGTTGCCTCATCTAAATCAGGAGAGAATTGAGCACAGATCAGGCTTTCTACAGCTCTCATCAGTGGATATATCAGTGAATTTTGATGTGAGAGGACAACAGGGAAGGGACTTTCGCTGAAGAAAGCAATATTATGGATTATGGAGTTGTATTTTGGCCAGAAGCGATGGTTTAAAGTTAAAACGTCTTAATGATAAATTTGTTTCTTACAACCACACAGCTTTTCACTTCACAAGATGATAATTGATGGTCTGGAGTTGTGTGGATTACTTGTGGATTATTGTGATGCTTTTATCAGCTGTTTGGACTCTCTTTCTGACGGCACCTATTCACTGCAGAGGATCCATTGGCAAGCAAGTGATGTAATGCTAAATTTATCTAAATCCGTTCCGAAGAAAAGACAAACTCATCTACATTTTGGATGGCCTAAGGGAGAGTTAATTTTCAGCAAATAGTAAAAAAATTTTGATGAACTGTTCCTTTAATGAGTTTCGATTAAAATAATTTTAGTAAAATAAAGGTTAATTTCAAAATAACTAATTTCATTTTTACACATCACATTTGGGGTCTCTGGGACAGTACACAGACTGTCATTCAAGGAATAAGCTGAATCTTTATGGCTTTTGATAGCATCAGAATGATAATGCACTACTGGAGAGTCTCATTTTAAGATAGTAGCTGGTGATTTAAGATGTTCAATAGCGTGTTCAATCTTGTAGACCATCTAGTACCAGCATTAAACCAGCTACAAGCAGGTCGTCAGATTTTAAAGTGGTCTTGGGACAGTTAATGACTGGTTTGGACCAGCTAATGACCACTTTAGACTAGCTACCAGGTTCCAAAACCAGCATTTTCCAGCATGGTGTCCTCATGTGGAGAACAGGTACCAGCCAAACCTAGACATGTGTGATCTAATGCAAAGTTGACCATGTATGTCAAGTTGAACAAGAAACAAAAGATACTGGTGTCCCTAAACCTCCATATATAGACACCCAGGCTCACCTTCCACCAGCTGATCCATGCTGGTAATCCTCGACCCGTCAATGGTATAAATGGTCCGGACGCCCTGAGGCAGATTTGCATTATCTGATAGGGAGCGGGTGAGGTCTGCGAGCAGAGCGTCGAAAGACCTGAATCTTTCGTTGGAAATAGCGTACACAATCCCCTTGAAGTACCGGTCTCCATTGCGGTAGAACCGGACCCTTTTGGCTTTCTTCTCGGAGCTCAGAGCCTGTAGGGTCCGGGTTCGGTACAGGCTGCAGTGGGCGCTGTGCGTGGGGCTCGGCAGGCCGTTCGCACGTGAACCCCCACGGCTGTATCTTTGTGCTTTGTCCCGTTCGTCGAAATGCTCCAGCTCCATGTCAACACCCGGGGCTGTACTAGTATCTCTGAGGAAAATTGTGGGAAAATGTGGATAGATGAGTTATGTCAAAATTATAATTGCATGTATTCGAAGTACCACCCCGACTCCATATACTTGTTAATATTGCACATATATGTAATTAAATAAGCAGCTGGAAATTTACATTTCCGTGCGCTTATCCAACTGACAAAAAATAATATAGGCTATAGGTTATAGAAGATGTTATAGCCTATTTATGTTTTAAATAATAAACGTTAATGTGTTATTGTTTCATACATAGGCTATAACCCATTTTAATAAATAATATATAATATTGAAGTTATTTAAACACGCCCAAAGGGAAAGCACAATGAAGAAGTCGTGATTACATGTTTCATCAATTAAAAAGCGACATTAAAGCACTAATAAATATAAGCTAAATGTGCGGACATGGTGCATCTTCAAAAAAGCATATTCATCTTACTTGTGCGCGTGTATCCGATGAGCACAGTCGATATGAAAGCACACGTCTAATGACTTGTCATCTCTTCCAGAGGATGCTGTGATGGTTTTAAGAGCAGGAGGAGAGAATCATGTGCTCTGCTGGATCTGGATGGGGCGGATGGGCTGCAGCCGGTGTCTGTCTGCACCTTTCGCTCTTTACGTTAGACCATCCCTCGTTTCAATGCAGACTGGCAGCCTTTGTCGTATTCCTGAGGTGGAAAAAACCCTCAATGAATGAATACGAGCGAGGGCTGCGTCTCAAAAGCTAGGGAGCTGCCTACCTAGACACCTAGGCTGTCTCAAATGCAGGTCCTCGCGGTGGGGAGGAGACTGTCTAGCGCCGCTTACAGTCCAGCAGAGACGATCTATTCAAACGGACTTATACATGTAAATAAATAAAAACAAATGAGCTATGATAGCATATGAACTGAACTTTGATGTGATTCCTCATATAGTCCAGTCACACCCACTATTGTCCGCTTAAATCAAGGTAGATCCTTTATTGCACCAGTAAGAACCGTCTTTGCGACACATTACACTAGATCCAATTAGGCCTATTTTTCATAGTTCAACAATATGATCAAGAGACTTGTGGTCGTGGTTGGCACAAGCTGTTTGCTTAGTTTTATTTTATTTTCATTAGCAAATTATGATTTTCAAATTCACTTAGGAAACCCTTACCAAAATGCCAAAAGATGCAGGATTTTCTATGATTTTGTAATACAAAACACATATCTGGATATAAGTCTACTATAGGCTAAGTGTTTTAATATTTTTTTTATAAATATGTATTATTATATAATACCGTTATATACATATAAAACAACTTACAGATTATGTTACATTTTTTAATGATAGATTATACTATACATCTTAAATATTTACTGTTAGTACAAATAGTCTAAAACTTACTATTGGTAGCCTATATTTTTATCAGTTCATTTTTGCATATTTAAAAAAAGTTTAAAATTCACCTCAAACTAGGACTGCTTGATTCCAGTTTTCCTCCTTTAATGACTGTTATTCACAAAATAAAAATAAAATAAAGATTTGAGATGTTTAAATCGCCACATTTAAAATATCAAACTGCAGAAGTTAAGTCAAAACCCACACATCACTTTTACTGCAGACGTAAACATGGGTAGAGAAAGTTGATTTAGCCTACACAACTTCATTTAGTACAAGCCATAACCAGAACAGTTTATGTAGTTGCAAATTTTCTTCCAGTGAGTTTATTACAAAGTACGACACTAGATGGCAGCATACACTTAAATTTCAGTGCATAGGAAAAAAAGTAGACTATTATTCAAGACTATTGTTCAGTTCGATTTTCACAGGAAGGCCAACTGAGTACGTATTTATACAAAATATATATATATTTTGTTCATATATTATGTAGTAAAATGAAGTTAAATGCTCCTGATTCATGGCACTTTGAATAACCTCGTTTGACCTCATCTTTAGTGCCTTGGCTAGTAAAGGAATGGAAAGCAATGGAATGGAACAAATTTTAAAACATCAAACGGTGTGTAAATTAGAGTACGCACAAAACAATATGTTTTAAATGTTTCATTTATTAAGTCAGATAACCATAGGCTATTATATTATTTGTCACTGAGCAAACCTACTGACTTGTGGTTAAACTTGATGCTTATTTATGCTGTCCATACATTCAAATTAGACATATATTGCATCAAAACAGACACAAATAATTAACAACTCTGTTGTTATGGAAGTTCAAGTTTATATTTATATATAATCTATAGAAACATGGTCAATAGTCAAATTTAAAGAAAAAGTGCAGTCATTGTCAACAGTTTTCATGGGGAAATAAAACTACTGTGGGAGGACTTCAAATATATGGCATTTTACAGTTTAATGCAGTTAACATTAAATATAAGCCTTGTTCATTTAAAATATTATTATAATATAATATTAATATTATAAAATACACATTTAAACTTTAACATACTATCATTTTAAACATTTCCCAAAAAGTTAGATTTTTCTGCCTCCTGAATAAACAGATCTCTGATATCTGACCTCTGTATCATATTCCAACTGCAAGTGCAATTATATTTTTAATGCACTTATACACAATAAAACCTAGAACCCATCATCTGCAAGAAATTGCAATGTCTGTTCCTAGCAGGGGTTAAAGTGTCTTTTTAATATTTTAAAACATAAAAAATTCCTGAAGTACCAAGAACAAACAGTTCTGTATACTGTATAAAGCAGCTATCATAAAGCATTCTTAGAATATATGTACAGTGGGTACGGAAAGTATTCAGACCCCCTTAAATTTTTCACTCTTTGTTATATTTTTAGATATAGAACTATTTTTAAATACAAGAAGATTATATTTGTTAAGGCTCTGTGGGAAATCCGTAAAGTCCACCTTTGGCTTGTACTTTGTTTTAAGGGTCCATTTAAAAGACAAGCCATGCAAAACTATTGAAGATTTAATATGAGTAAAATCATTGGTGATATGTTTAGTTGAGTAAATTGCTGGTGAAGTGTAAGGCAAGATCAGGAATACTGTCCGGCAGGCTGTCAGTCAGCTTGTAAAGGGAATTTTAAAAGTGCATTTAGCATTTCCCCCGTGACACAGTGAAAATAGTAAACATGACAGCACGACTAACTGTGTTTACTGTAGGAAAGTCTTTGGAGTTCAGTGTTGGTCACATAATCAAATAACAGCATTCATTGAAAAAACGGACAAGGATCCACCCACTTCTTCGGTCATTTGGTTTGCTCTTAAAAATGGACACCTGAAACGAGAGGTCTGAATCTAAACTCTACTTTTGGTCTTTATGTTTCTCAACTTGAGTGCTCGGCTCTTGGACTTTATAGTCAGCCAGGATGGCATGGGCAGTCTCTTTGCCAGTCTTCTTGACCATTGCCTTGATCCCCAGGTTGTCGATATTGAACGCAGTGACGCCCACATTGATGGCCGAGTTGACAGCATGATCTGTGGCCTGGCCCGCTTCCGCCCCATACCTTGATTATAAATAACCCAGATTGAGTATGGGAGGGGACGGGGTGATGAAAGAGGCAATGGAATAAGCTTTAGGAGATGGACAATATGTGACCCTGGACCACAAAACCAGTCATAAGAGTCAATTTTTCGAAATTGAGATTTATACATCATCTGAAATCTAATAAATAAGCTTTCCATTGATGTATGGTTTGTTAGGATAGGACAATATTTGGCTGAGATACAGCTATTTGAAAATCTGGAATCTGAGGGTGCAAAAAAATCAAAATACTGAGAAAATCGCCTTTAAAGTTGTCCAAATGAAGTTCTTAGCAATGCATATTACTAATCAAAAATCAAAAGTTTTAATATATTTACAGTAGGAAGTTCACAAAATATCTTCATGGAACATGATCTTTACTTAACATCCTAATGATTTTTGGCATAAAAGAAAAATCAATCATTTTGACCCATACAATGTATTTTTGGCTATTGCTACAAATATACCCCAGCGACTTAAGACTGGTTTTGTGGTCCAGGGTCACATATTCGAAGCAGAGCAAAGCAGTTAAACATACATGCATGGATTCAGTCATTTCTCTAGAGAAAAATCTGAACTCGATTAAAATTGTAAAATTAATCCTAAAGATGCCATAAAAACATTTTTGTTGTGATGTGAAAAAGTTGGATTGAAATTCCTCAATATTTTTAGTTAGAAAGGATATGACGGTTGTGCAAATTATTATGATTAAAAAACATTATGATATTATGAGCTATATGACAAGTTATAGTAATCACCGTTATTTTCCCTTTTTAAATATTGTATAATTATCAGAAGGGTTTGAGCTTTTAATCTTAAACCTTCGTTATAATGAATTGTACAGTCGTACAGTATAAGATGATTTACATTCTCGTTCAAAAGTTTGAGGTCAGTCACCAAAGCTGAATTTATTTGATTTGATTTGAAATGTTTTTACAATTTATAATAACTGTTTTCTATTTTAATATATTTTAAAATGCAATTTATTCCTGTGATGCAAAGCTGAATGTTCAGCAGCCATTAATTTAGGACTTCAGTGTCACATAATTCTTCAGAAATCATTTTAATATGCTGATGAGAATTTTTTTTTTTTTTTCAATGTTGAAAACAGTTGTGCTGATTAATATTTTTATTGAAACCATGATACTTTTTTCCAGGATTCCTGGATGAATAGAAAATTCAAAAGAACGGCATTTATTTGAAACAGAAATCTTTAAAAATGCCACTTTTGATCAATTTAATGCATCCTTTCTGAATAAAAGTATTCATTTATTAAAAAATATATATATTAAACATAGTAACCCCAAACTTTTAAACGGTAGCATATATACTGTACATCTTGGTCAAATTACGTAGATGATAATTATGTTTGCTATCCGATAGAACCCGATAAAAGCTTCTGTTGATGCAACAGTATAATTAAAGTCAGGCTTAAAAGGTTCAAAAGTTAAGAAAAATGAAGCAATAAAGACAATGAGATTAATTACTTTGGCTGTTAGGAACACATATTCATTCAATTTCTGAGCTGTGGATCATTTGCGCACAGCAACACAGGATGCTAACGGAGGTGATTTAATCATTATGTCCTATAAATCATTAGCATTGCGTGCAAGTGCTGACTGATTCAGACTCGTACATAAGCTTTAGCCATGCTCGTGACCGTTAATTAAGGCCTTTTTACAGGGTGCAGGGAAAATGTTTCTACTTGTTTTCATTTGGGGTGTCTGAAATGTTCTCCAGACCCCTAAATCTGCAAACAAATAGACGGGAAAGAAACTAGCGTAAGTGCAGTTTATTTTTCTGATCCAAGTTACTGGTGAGAAACTGCAAATGCAGTTAAAACACTACTATGATCAACTTTAAAGCAGGTGGAATGAGACCCTTGTGGAGTTACTTACTTATGTTTTACCGTGGTAACCGTTTCTGCAGCAACACTCTTTGCAATGTTCTTTGCTGCAACCTCCAACCCCGTCCACATTGTTGCAAATCCTGACAAAAGTAGAGTATTATTTAATTTACAATATCAAAAGTGACAGTAAAAACATTTATAATGTTGCAAAATATATAATATATAATATATATAAATAAATACTATTCTTTTGAACTTTCTATTAATCAAAGAATCCTGAAAAAATATATCACAGTTTCTACAAAAATATAAAGCAGCACACCTGCTTTCAATATTGGTAATAATTCAAATTGATTAATTAGATTTTTTTTTTTTTTTGAGCGTCAAATCAGCATATTAGAATTATTTCTGAAGGATTATGTAACATTGAAGACTGGAGTAATTGCTGCTGAAAATTTGCTTTGCCATCACAGAAATAAATTACATTGTAAAATACATAAAAAAGCAGACAATTATTTTAAATTGTATTAATATTTCACAATATTAGTGTTTTACTGTATTTTTAATCACATACTATACATACAGCCTTGATGAGGATAGAGTTAATTAAAAATCATTAAAAAATTCTAACTGAGCCCAAATATTTTAATGGTGGTTTAACTGTCTCTAAATGATTAATAGCACATATTACATGACACCATTTAGTATTTGTTATACATTTAGTCAATAATATGATGTCTTTTTTGCTCCATGGAAAATTATGTATGTGTAAAGAACTTGATAAATCACGTTAACCATCTGATCAATAACGCCTAAAAGATAATAATGTAACTGTAGTCATCAATGTGACTAAAACAGCCAAGAAAATAATAATTTATGAGTGGAATGATTTACTTCACCTTGAAATCCACTTGCTGCAACCACCATGGCACCATCAATATTGGAGCGTCCATCCTTGTCTTTCTTCAGAGACTCTGGGATAAGCTTCCCTCCATGTTTCTTTACATGGGGTGCCAACTCTCGGCCAACATGTGCAGCGACTGTGCACAGTCCATCCACTGAAACAGTACACAACATGCTTTTGGCTCAAATCATACACAGTAAATGAAGTGCGTCTCATCTTTGTTGAATATTATCAACACAATTAGGAATTTACAAAGACACTTCCTTACCAAGGAACTGGCTGACCTTCACTGCTCCTCCTGTGGCCTGTTTGGCCACATGGAGGCTTTTGGTTACTGTGGGGCTGACTTGGGCTGGTTTGTCCTCTGGTGTGATGTGCTCTCGTAGTTTGGATGCACCTTTATGTATGGCTTTCCCTGTATACTCCGCCCCCTTCACCAATCCCCAGCTCAGCCACGAAGCCCCTGTCGATATATTTAATCCAGTAAGGAGAGCATCACAGCATCACTATTTTGGTGGAAACAACTGTTGAGGTTCTAGTACAACCCAAAATGTTGGACAGGTAACCAGCTATTATAAAGGCTTAAAGGGGTAGTTCACGATAACACGTTTGAACCACTGATGTCACATGGACTATTTTAACAATGTCCTACGTTTCTGGGCCTTGAACGCGCGAGTCCTGTTTCTGTCAATGGAGGGTCAACAAATCTTAATTTGTGTTCCTGAAGATGAACGAAGGTCTTATGGGTTTGGAACGACATGAGGGTGAGTAATGAATGACAGAATTTTCATTTTTGGATGAACTATCCCTTTAAAACACTAGGTTTATGATTCCTAAATCCACAATAACGTGATAAACAAAACTTTGAGGTCAGTAGGATTTAAAAAAAAAAAAAATTACTACTTTTAAGCAAGGATGCATTAAATTGATCAAAAGTGACAGTAAATATATTAATATTACAAAAGATTTCGATTTCAAACAAATGCTATTCTTTTGAACAATTCTTCAATCCTTAAAAAACATGTATGGTTTCTAGCAAAAATATTAAGCAGCACAACTGTTTTCAACATTGTAATAACCACTATATAATAAGAAACGTTTGAGAACCAAATCAGCATATTAGAAAGATTTCTGATTTCATGAGACACTGAAGACTGGAGTAAAGGATGGTGAAAATTCAACTTTGCCATCACAGAAATAAATGACATTTTAAAATATAATAAAATACAAAACAGTTATTTTACATTTTAATTATATTTCATTATACTGCTACTTTTTTCCGTATTTTTGAATGAAATACATGCATCCTTGGTGAGCATAAGAGACTTCTTAAAACAACATAAAAATCTTACCAACCCCATACTTTTGAATGGTAATATGAATATGTTTCACACCTTTCTTTACATTTAAACCTCAGTTAAGGGAATCAGATCCCTCTTCTTACCAGTCAGGATCCCTTGAGATACCTTCTCGCTCCATTCAGGAAGTACATTCTCCTCCTCAGCAGCAGGGGTTGCTGCTTCAGCTGCAGGAGGCCCCATCGGCACCTTCTGACCCAGGTTAATGGTATCGGTTGCGCCATCTGATGCCTTGGGGACACAGGATAGCAGGCAACAGTTAAAACAGAGCATCATAAAGAACGCAGAAGCAGGCTCAAGCGATAACTAAAAGCAAATGGTGACTTTTAGGATGACTATATGGAAATTAGCCAGTATTGTTTATGACAAGGAGGGAATGCTTCCAGATTTTTCCCCATTTGCCAAAAAAAAAAAAAAAAAATCCTTTTTTGTCTCTAAAAACTTCTGGGGCCCGTTCTTCATCAGGCTCAAGCGATAACTAAAAGCAAATGGTGACTTTTAGGATGACTATATGGAAATTAGCCAGTATTGTTTATGACAAGGAGGGAATGCTTCCAGATTTTTCCCCATTTGCCAAAAAAAAAAAAAAAATCCTTTGTTGTCTCTAAACACTTGAGCCAGTGAGTCAGCATGGTCTGCTACAACAACCTGTTATTTCCACAACAATGGGGGTGTTTGTCATTGCCCCCTCCTTTACAGGGAACTGCGGCACTTGGTTCCAAACTCAGCAGCAGCTGCTCTGTGAAATGATTTCTAAAAGCATGAACAATGTTTTTCTGACTCACATAACCACTAGACTAGGATTATGACTTCTTATAATGCAACTGAATAAAAAAGAAGAAGAATGTGGCGGGTACGCTACTGTTACACTTGGCTGTGCTCTCATTCACCACTATCCTGAGGTGAGAAGGGAAACAACGGTGTTCTTGGTTTGCTAAGAGCATTACAGCTAATTAATTCTTCTACTCCTGTATGCTCTCAATCCATGCAAGCGCAGGGGAGTGTGCCAGCTCAAAAGCACAGGCCAAGTCAGCTCACTATTTCATTATACCCAAAGCCAAATGTGTGAAACACTTAGGAATATCAGCATTAGAGGCAGTGCAAGCAGCAGACAGCATAGAAGCATTGTAAGGACCACATGTCAAGTGCATTAAATGATCAAGAAAATACAGTAGTTAAATCCAGCACATTAAAAAACTTAAAGGTGAAACTGGTATGCTTTTTTTTTTTACATGGTATGGTATTTACATAATTATGTCACAATGGGACAAATTATTATTATTATTATTAGATTGTTAGTTGTTTATCTATATGGCAAAAACTGAGTTGGAATAATACAAGATTTACAAACACAAAATAAAACCAAATAAACACAAAAAATAAAGCAGATTAAATTATACAAGATTTGTTAAATTAACATTAACATAAATTTTAAAAATCTAAAATCTTTTCAGGTAAAATCTTACTAAACAAGTCCCTGAGTGAGCGTACTTCATAAACGTTTTCTACTTGCATTACAACGGGGACAGTCCATTTTTATTAAAACATTAATTTAAGTAAAGTCAAATTTAAAATAATATCAATAATAATTAATATTATAGAAAAACTATTAATTTATAAAAATAAGTATTTAAATAAAGTATTTTATACTTGAATATGATATCATTTATATATTTCTGACAAGCTATTTTATTTATTTATTTTTTAAAAAACACTTAATTAATTAGTTTTTTTTGTTTGTTTGTTTACCATTTTTGATTATTGGCAGAGAGTGCTACTGACCATTAATGTACTTGGAGTCTTTCTCTAATATAAGGGCACATTTTAAGGGTACATCAGGTTTAAAATGTCTAGCACTCTAATGTCATTTGGAAATGTCTAAGTTTCCATTGGTTTCAAGCAGAGCCGATCCTAGACTTCTGGGGGCCCTACGCAAAACTGTGTCGGTAGGGTGGGGGGTGGGGTTTGGGGGTGGTTATGAATGACGAGTTATGAATGAATGAAACGCCTTTGTCCACTTGAGAAACGATGTCTCTTCTGCGGCTCGGTACACTTTCAACTTGGGTTTTTTTTGTCTCGAGTAAGACACTGTATGAAATTCATGTTACATGATTTGACAGATTTTTACATAGAAAGGGCGACAGCGCACCACATTAAAAGAAATGACATAAGCGGTTTTCATAACCGCTGGCCAAATTCAAAAAAACGAAACTAAAATTAATCATCTTTGAGAGCAAGGGGGGCCCCTGGTGTTTCGGGGGCCCTACGCAGCTTGCGTACTTTGCGTATAGGAAGGATCGGCTCTGGTTTCAAGGACATTAGAGTTTCTTCTGTATAAAAAATGTAAAGACTTCTAAAAATCACCCTGTTGCGTCGGTATTCCTTAATGTTCAGAGCATAAATATTCACAACCCAAATGCACTTGTCATTCGGTGATTTTACAATGCATTAATACCTTAAAGTTGCTTTGCAATGATTTGTATCGTGAAAAGCGCTGTACAAATAAACTTGACTTGACTTGACTTGACTTAAATAAATCTTTTAAACTCTCAAATACACCTGAAATCTGTAAAGAAAAGGGGTTAATGAGACAGGCAGATGCAGTGATATGTGCCCAATGCATATGAGCAACATGCAAAAATCTGATTCCAAACAGTGAACATCATGCATCTAAAGAACATAAAGATTTTACCACAGTGTAAATTTCTTGATTCTAGTCTGTTGTGATAAAGAAAAAAGAAAAACTCAAAAAACACCAAAGAGGGCAGCAACAAGTAAGATTCTGGAATTGTTTTCAAATCTGCAGAGATTGAGTAAGTGACACACAAAGTTTGAGACGAGGTTGAGCCACCACACCTGCTCTGAAGCCACAGCTGACCCCTGTGTTTCTGAGGTGGGACCTGAGGGGACACAGGGACAGCTCACCTGGACACGCAGGTCAGTCAGCTGAGAAAGAACACTCTGGAAGAGTTCGCGTTCCTTCTGGGGAAGCTCGGAAGAAAGGACCACCCCAACATACGAGCCCGGGGTGGGAGCCATCATGTCAGGGAACATGTAGACTCCCGTGTTGCACAGCAGGACTGGGGAGTCAGAGGCCATCAATGGGTAAAGCCAGTCACAAACCTGAAATTAGAAATAAAAATTAGTGTGGCTTCTCGAAGAGGACCGGTCTAATTTCTAACCTACCCCTACAACCAGAAGGCATCTATTGGCTGATATGAATGTTGTTTCAGGCTACAAGCCACCAAAATCTGCAGGCAATAAAAATAAAAATAAAAATTGATAAGCATGAGAATGTTGATTCAGGAACATGTCTTACTCATTGGGACTTAATAATTATTACCGGATATTAATCTGCTCAAACAAACAGTCCCACCTCAAACGTATAATTTATAGTAGACTACAAAGATCAAATAATATACAAATCTTACTGAATAATTCATGTGAAAATGCTTTCTGTCATGACAACTCTCAGGGAGGGGCATGGTAATGTACATGACAATGTTAATGTATTTGGTCTTGGCAGAATAGATCTGCTACGCTGCTGAGGCGGCAGAGCAAGTACCGAGACTTGCTACTGCCAATACATCCCCAACATGCTGCTGTAAGCATGTAAGAAATACTGCTGCTGCACATATAACACATATGAATAACCCCCATATAGCATACATAAATTACCCTGTAGCAGATCTATACAGGTGGAGCTGGGGAAGGTGGAGGGTTTCTGAAGTGCGCTGCCAACTGCTACAGCAAACAAAAAAGCCAGGTATTTGAATATTGAGCAGCGAGCTCATTGGCTACCGATACAGGAGAGAACCAATCAGCTGCCATGTGACAACGATGTCACCAGGTCAGATTGAGCTAAACCTATCGGATTGCGCCATCTAGAGTTTCATGCCAGAACTCTGTATTTATTAAAAAATATACAAATCACTTTTTATCTGATTTTAATATATCCCTTTAAATTAATATAATTATTCCCTTAAAATGTGATTTTAAATTTAAAGGCCTTACTTTACAGATCAAATAAAAAAAAAAAATCTCAATGAACAATAATTCATGTAAATTCTTTATTAGAAATATACAAATATTTCCAATATAAGTTAATATAGTCCGATGTAATATATTGAATATATTTCTCTAAAAATCACTATTTAAGTGACTATTTCAACCGACTGAGCCTGGTTTTTCCCAAGGTTTTTTTTCTCCATTCTGTCACCTATGGAGTTTTGGTTCCTTGCCGCTGTCGCCTCTGGCTTGCTTAGTTGGGGACACTTAATTTCCAGCGATATCGTCGACTTGATTGCACAGATACTATTTAAACTGAACTGAGCTGGATGATGACATCACTGAATTCAATGATGAACTGCCTTTAACTGAAAATTGAGTGTTTACTAATGTAAACATTTTGCAAATAATGCAAATAATTTTGCATTACTGACACTATTTTCCTATTTAATGCTGTAAAGTTGCTTTGACACAATCTGTATTGTTAAAAGCGCTAAAAAAAGAAAAAAAAACTATTTATAAATATAAATTTAAATGCCTTACTTTCCAGATGAAATAATAAGTAATAATAAATAATAATATTCCCTGAAAATAGGGATTTAAAAGGCTTTAATTATTCAATAAGAATTTTTATTATTTGATCTGTAAATTAAGGCCTTTAAAATAAAAGTAAGGGATTTTTTTTATTAATATTAATTAAAAGGCCTTAATGTACATATCAAATAATGTAAATGCTTTATTAAAATATACAAATCATATTCCACTGAAAGAATATTCCTTTAAAGTGGAGCTTTTAAAGGCCAGTCTGGGTTTGGGAGACCTGTACTGATATTGCAGACTATACTGTAGGCTATGAGATTCACAAATCACATGATTGTAAAGCTCTGAATCCTAAATTGCCTGTCATCCAACATTTGAATAAATCATAAAAGATACAGCTTGCTGACAGTATCCTTTCTGCAGATATGTAATGGATTAAGATGTTATCGAGTGAAAAGTTATAAATGGAAATTGCCCCGTGGCTCAGAATTTGAAGTTGAGACAGTGGACAGCTCTGCAGTTGGATTCATTTATCCTGTCCTCATGACTGCTATAGCATTTAATTGGATTACAGTCAAAGCCTGAAGCGCAGCAACTGGAGGCTCTTTATTAAGCTTCATGACACAGCTAATCTATGACCTCAATGTCCGTGTGGGGGGATGACACTTTTTATTTAGGACGTAGGCGTCTTTGGGCCCTGATTGGGTCCAGAAGTCATCCAAGGCTTTTAAATTATTACTCTATATTTACATACAATATAGACATTCCATAAAATTACCTCATATTGTGAGGATTTCATGTAGGGTGGTGTTCAAAGTGTAAACTGTATTACCTCATATTATCACAGGTTATCACAGAACAAGAGAAGAGTGACGTTCAAAGTGTAAAATGTATTGTGCTAAACCAGGCCATTTATATTGTCTGTCATGTAGGTGACCATTTCAAGAAAAACTCATCAGGTCATTAAGCTCCAATGACTGGGGCTTTCCCGAGATGACATCACTCCGTGAAAGCCTATTGGATGCAAGCAGTGAGCATACACTCACATGATACTGTTAAAGGGTTAGTTCACCCAAAAATGAAAATTCTGTCATTAATCACTCACCCTCATGTCGTTCGAAACCTGTAAGACCTTCGTTCATCTTCTGAACACAAATTAAGATATTTTTGATGAAATCTGAGAGCTCTCTGATCCTCCATAGACAGCAAGGATACCATCACGATCAACGCACAAAAAGTATTCTCGTAGCTTCGTAAAATTACAGTTAAACCCCTGATGTCACATGGATTATTTTAACGATGTCCTTGCTACGCTTCTGTGCGCTGATCGTGATAGTATCCTTGCTGTCTATGGAGGATCAGAGAGCTCTCAGATTTCATCAAAAATATCTTAATTTGTGTTCAGAAGATGAACGAAGGTCTTACAGGTTTCGAACAACATGAGGGTGAGTGATTAATGACAGAATTTTCATTTTTGGGTGAACTAACCCTTTAAGAAACAATGGATGAGGTTGGTCTCATTAAAGATAACACCATCTCAAGAGCGCAGCGAGCTTTAGAGCCAGACAAAAGGTTGCGAAAGTAGGTTACAGGACACCATGTCTTGAAAACAAGCCTACTTGGACCGTTCTGTACAAATGCCTGGAAATTATCTACATGAACAGTCTCTATGGGCTGAACAGATCAAGCAACCGTTTTTGAAAGAATCTCATGAAACTTGCCTTAAACATGTCTGGGTCACATTTCACCCACAAATAAGAAATTATATTTTGTGTAAATAATATTAACCTTGTTTTTAGGGCCATTAAGATTTTTGCATTGCGACATTATTTTTTATTGTCCTAATATTTGTTCTAATACAAAGAAATACTATAAATTTATAAAAGAAAACATGCTTAACTGTCATGTACATAAAAATGTCAATTAAAAATTATTACATTAAAAACAATTTTTTAAATTAAATTATTTTATTATTATATTTATATTTATGTATCATTTACGTATATTTACATTTATGTATAATTCTACAAACTAACCGTTTATAAAGCACATTTTCTCCCTAAATTTTCATTACTGTACTATGCAAAAATGTCATTCAACCAGAATTTTAAAATTACTACATTTCTATTAATTTTTATTTATTAAATTTAGTACAACAAAGACTATTTAACATTTCAAATAAAAGAAGCAAAATGTGTGAATGTGTGTGTTTATTGGTTTATAGAATTTAGCACAACAAATAGCAATGTATAAAACTAAAAATGTATCATTTCATTATTATTCAAAATTTGTTGCACTGAATTCATTTTTTTTTTAATTATATTTTATGTATTAAAAAAATTGAATTTGTGGAGAAAATTTGTTTAATTGAAATTAAAATTGTCAGAATGAAAAAAAAATCTTAACGTTCCTAAAACATGCTTTATTTTTCTTTACAGAATATATATATATATATATTTTCATGTGACAACACTGAAGAAATGACACTTTGCTACAATGTAAAGTAGTG